TTCGCGACGCGCGGGCTGATTTTCAGAAGTTGCCGCGTGAAAAGAAGGACAGTTGTGTTGGTGCTTGAAACATATTTTGAACAACTACAATCTATTCTGTTTTTTCCCTGTGTTCTATCCTATAGAAAGGTCCTATAGGCTCACCACAAACACGGCTTCCTAATCAATTTGCTTATCCTTAAAGGAGAGTTGGATTGGTGCCACCTTCAACGCAGTAGAGCGCGACCAAGCAGGTGTCTCCCGCTCTGCTGCAGCTCCCGCAGATGAAGATGTATTTTTGGCTTCGGACGAAGAACCCCTTTTTTTCTGCTCAGATGATGAGCTGGCTGTCGAGTCAGACTCAGACCAGCCCCTTGCTGCGTCTGATTCAGAGGTGTTCTTTTCTTCGGAACCTGAGGATGCAAGATCTACTGCGCCATGCCGGCCCCGGAAGCGAGCTCGTTACAACGCTAGGAGTTCCGAGCGGCTGAAATTCCTTGGCCGCCCGGTTTGCCGATTTGCTTTGTCCCGCCTCCTCCAAGTGGGTGACTCCTCTTTGCAAAAATTGAGGACTGGACAGCCCCTTTTTACCAACAAAGATCGTCTTCCCCTACCGAAGCACCCGACTTTCGGGTTCACTTTGAGAGGCGAGGTAGCAGCTTTGTGGGAAGACATTGTGATGTTTTTGTGGCACATTTATCAGACGGCCGCGGAAGTTCTCCCCACAAATTGGAAGAATATTAAGCGTGAGACTCCATTCTTTGAGGATGACTTGGACCCCAAGGATGAAAGGGACCGACTGGTCAATTCCATTGCCCAAACACTCCACACGAGCGCGACAGACATGGAAGTTAGCATGATTGGGCCAGGAACTTTCGTTGGGCCTCGCAGATGCGTGATGCACGGAAATCGCACTGACTTGTATTGGGAATACCGTGCGTATGCTGAGACCAGAAATCTTAGAGTTGCATCGCAGAGTACCTTTTTACGAGTTGCCAATTGTTGCATCAAGCCCGGTTTGAGAAATGGGCATCTGAAATTCCGCAAGCCCAGCGAACACGCTGTTTGCGATGAATGTTACAATCTGCGCGAGCAAGTGAGACAAACCAAAGATGCTGCAGGAAAACTTGAAGCGCAAAAGGCTTTTCACCGTCACCAATTGAGCCAGTGGTTGGACAGGCAAATCTATTGGTCACTTCGATCCATGAGCCAAACCTGGTTTTCTCGCATGCTGGACGAGAACACAAGGCAAGAACTGACTCCTTGAGTTTTTGCATGGAGATCAAGCTACTAGGTATCGAGAGTTAAATTCAAGTTCATAGCCTACATATGAGTCACCTTGCGGCGCCCCTGTCAGGCTATCAGCTCCGGGCAACGTCGCCCAGAACGTCCTATGTGTGATTCAGGACGGTGTCGACCAATCCAAATTTCGATGCCCAAGGGTGAAAGTGACTCAGAGACAAACCAAATTGTTCCAGAAACTGTTCCGGCCTCAACTCCACGTTGCGGCCGCGTGGAATCACGGGCATTCCGTGAACATTGCCGTCGCGGACGAAGACCTCCCCAAGAACTCCGAAACGCAGTTGGAACAACTGGTGAGATCATTCGATGTGGTCCTGAGAGAAGTGGGTGACCTTCCCCCTGGTGTGAATGTCCAAACGGACAACTGCTTTAGGGAAGGGAAGAACCAATGGACAAGTGCTTTTGGGGCTTTGGCGGTGTCGTTGGGCGTTTTTCGCCATTACACTGCGTCCTACCTACGGGTAGGGCACAGTGCCTTCGCTTTGGTTATAGTTATAGCAATTGTTTTCCTTCTGCGGTAATGTCTAAGGTGGTTCTTAGTCATTGACGCCCTGCAGAGTCAGAGGTCCCGCTTTTCCTTCTTGTTGCACTTCAGGTCACGAGGACATCGACCAATACTTTTCACAGATATCCGCTTTGCTTGCCCGATCTGAGTTTTCTGACCCAGAAGAGGTGGTCGCTTTGCTTGATAGCAGCTACCGACCAGATTCACTGGCAGATTTGCAGCGAAAGCAATCCAAAACGATCAAAGTTACCGCTAATGCCTACAAGCTTGACACGGTTGCCCGATGGAAAGATTGGACCAGTGCTTTGGGCGTGCGAATTCTTGGATTGAGACGCTTTGTTTGACATTGATCAAGTGCATATATCCGCAGGCATACAATTTTGTGTTATTTTTAAACCCCATAGATATTATTCCGGGATGCCGGTAGCGTGACAGTCGTGCTGATTGCTTGTGTCCTAGGACACGTTGGCCAGCTTCGTTTCTGCCTTCGAAAGGATGTTGGGGCCAGTTCCTACGGCAATTGCCAACCTGAAGAACTCAGGGGCTTTGATCCCCATGGATGTGATGTGATGCTGTTCTGCAAACGTCGGATGGCAGATCCCGAACCCATTCGAGTGCTATGCCTCATTCCTGCCCAGGTTTCGGTCTCTTTGAGAAGTGCTTTTCGGCAGCCTGTTGGGAAGTGTGATCGGCGACCTCTTGGTGAACAGCTCCTACAAAACATTCCGTCCAAAGCGCAGGCTTGCTTTGACCAGAAATTCATTTCAGCAGATGCTCTGGCATACCTTCTTGGTTGGGTGGGTCGTACACTCCCTCGACTTGACCGGCCCACATCCTACCCATGCCTAGAGCTTCGCAGGTATGAGATTGATTTGCCGCCTGGCGCTGTGCCGCGAGGGCCTGTCCGGTGGGAGGGGCCTGCCAGATTTCGAACCTACACCATTTTGCGGGCAAGTGATGAAGCCAATGATTCAGACCCGGATGATGCAGCCATTCCTGTGCAGGATGATGATGGGTAGTAGACAACAGATTGCAGTCCTTCTTATTAGAAAACATGTGCGCCGCGTGTGAGCAGTTAGCCGCATCGATTTTTCACGCAGAGTTCCTACACCACAGATTGCACTTCCGCTCCATGAGTGAGTTTGTTTATGAACAAGACATCATTCCGTTTTAGGATGCACTTACCTTGGGTGGGCCTGTGTTGGGTGCTGCCAGATCCCGGTTTTATTTTGGACTTGTTTGGTGTCACTGATGTTTATCCCTGTCAGATGGAAGTGGCCTTTATGTGCGAGATCGAAGAGTGGAAGGCGTCCTACCTCAAGAGGGCCTTTTCTGAGGACATCCCCGTGTTCCGCGACATGCGGGAGCTTGGTAGTGGGAAGGCCTATGAGCTGCGGAGCAAAAGAACGCAACGTGTTCCTAAGGCAAGGCATTGGTTGTAGAACTCAGAAGTGTGGTGTTGACATAGGGTTTTGTAATGCTTTTGTGTTCCTGTTTGCCCGCTCGATTGTCAACCAAAAAATAGGGACAACTATTTGATAGTTGGCCCCATTTTTCCGGGGGATCTCTTTCGCAGGTGGACCTGGCAATGGCAGGATATCCCTGCAAATCGGTCAGCAAGCAGAACAACTTTGCCAAGGCGTTCACCGACCCCTCATCGAGCACAGGTGGTGGATACTGCGCGCTCATGAGTTTTGTCCAATACTCCCAGCCGAGCATTGTGATTGTCGAGAACGTTAGTGGACTAGCCCATCAAAGGAAGTCCTTTGAGGAGTGCCCGATTCAGATCCAGAATGCTACGATGTCCAAGAAAGGATACCGGCATTGGCACACTGTTTTGAGTAGCAAAGAGTTCGGCCTGAGCCATTCGCGGAGCCGTTGCTGGGCTATCTACATCAAAGAATCCCTGTGCAAGTCCGAGAAGCAGCTCTGAAGAATATATGTCTTGTCCGTGTCTGGTCCGTCTTCCCAAAGAAAGTTGCAAGTGTTTGGAAAGCAACCATTGATTGATGCATTTCTCGATTCTGTACACCTTATTCAAAAAGGTTAAAAACATGAAAGCAAAGGCCATATTCCCTCTACCCATACTATTTCTGACCTTGTTCATTGTTCTGCTTGGCACTGGTTTTCTCTAGGTCTCCGATGGATTTGCTGCTCTCATTCCGTTGCAAGCCCTTGCCCTTGGAGTCCTATTTACGGCCCAAGGAGACCGAGATTGCAGGCAGCCGCCCGGCGCGAGTGGTGCAGCGAGGCAGTGGCCAGAAATGGAAGCAAGGCCTTGAGGTGGCTAGTTCAGCCTTGGGCAAAGTTCCTCAACTCTGCTTCGCAATTTGTTCTTTGACTTTCGTGTTTTTGGTCGACCCTCTGGAGCCCAAAACACCCTCCCCCAAAATGACGTGTTCAATTGAATCTGTTTTGCAGACATTCCAGGCGGCAGTCCAGAAGTCCATGAAGTTTTTGCGGGAGCAGGGTTTGTCGTGCTTGACCGACAGGGAGCATGCCATTTTGGCAGTGGCTGTGACCGAGCTAGACCAGCAAGGCTATGAGCCCTTCCTGGAATCGAACCGCTACGTGATTCAGGTCGAGACTTGGAAGATCTTGGAAGTCTTGCAATTGAAGCTGTTGTGCGGTTGTGTTACTTCGCAATCTTCCTTTTGCATTGCGCCTTGAACCTCAAGTCCCTTTGAATCATACTTTGGGATTTCTTGGCCCCAACCCCCTAATTGCCGACCTGTGAGGACCAGAATTTCGCCCGTGCAACATGGATGAAGTCTGGCCCCTGGCTTTGCCCCTGCCTTCTCCCCCATGGAAAGTACGTGATCTCTGGTCGATGGTCTTGCTTGACAGCGCAGGATGGTGGGTTTTTTCCAGTTTTATGGGCTTTCTTGTGAGTCTCACCCTCTGTTTTGTTTGTCATTATTTGTGGAGTTCCTTGAGGGTTGTTTTTTCATGCCCGTGAAGAAATGCCAGGAGAAGATGCTGCTACAGGGTGTTGGCATGGCCGAGTTCCATCAATATCAAATGCGGTCTTTAACGTCTTCCCAGCTTGCTGACCTGGCCGGCAATTCGTTCCTTGCTTTTGAATTCCTTCCGTTGTTGATAGGTGGTCGGTGACATATGCTGAGTCTTTTGAGAGATGCCCCCGCGTTCCCTTTTTTCTTCGGTTTCCCTCTTGTCGCAAAGACTCAGGTTCTCTGCTCCGGTTTGCGTCGCGATGCTCCTGTGTGCGTTGGCCTGCTGGCAGCCCAAGTCTCTAGAGGATTCCGCCTTACAGTGAATGAACGCACTGATGGCAGCGGGGCGTGTTCCTTGATAATAAGGAAATCCCTTAGGTTGTGACAGTGATTAGCAGCGCCGGCCATCATTCTGCCTTTTGTGTATATTGCGATCATCTATGATGTGTTCACGTTGAAGGATTGTACCTTTATCTGCGAGAGCTTGTTGCTGGTCACTGCTGTGTTGCCCTTGTTTGATACATCTATGCTTTGCTGAAAGCACTCATAGCCTAACATTGGCTAAATTAGTTGCTTGCCTGCCGGGATCATGGGAAAGGCAAAAACTTGGCATTGGGAGAACCTTTCGATGCTTGTAGGTATCGAGTCAATTGTATATTGTGAAGATAAAAGGCCAAGGGAACACATTCCGAGGCTTGTAGAGTCTTGTTAAACGTGTTTGGTGACTCATTGGTTTCTGCGTTTGCGTGTCGTGGATTCCTGGTCTTTGTACATTCGCTGCTTCAAGCTCTTTCCTGGCCTGGAGGCTGGCACTTGGCAGGCATGCCTCCTCGCAAGAGGCAAAAGACAGGTAGACAAGGTGCCGATGCTCTGTCGTCAGGGGCGTCGGCTCCCGTTGTCGCCACCGCCTTTGATGACATCCCCAAGATCATGAGGCAAGCTTTGACCATTTTGGATGATGTCCACGAGCTTCGCCATTACAGTTCAGAGACTGTGCATTTGGAGCCCAAATCTTTGTTGAAGCCTGTGGATGGGGCATTCCCTTGGCCGATTTGTTCCGGCGGGACGTTCAAAGACATTGCTCAAAGGGCTTGGGCTGATCCAGAGCGCTTGATAGAGATGAGCGCCTGCTTTCGCCACAAAGCTGGCCTGGTGGAGTCAGCTGACAAGGAAGAATTTGTCCAACAGTTCTGTAAGCTGGATGTTTCTTGGTGATGTCCAGAGTCCAGAATTTTTGCATTGTGATTTGACAAACCTTGTTCATTTGGTTTTTCTTTTCTTCCTTTGTCTCACCTCTACTTTTTCATATATGAGTTGCACTTGATTCAACAGCATTGCGCAGGTATGGCCTCCTGAAAAAGGTGAATCCTTCATGACTTCCGTCCTGTCCTGGAACTTCAGCGATGCGGCCTTTTGGAGAGGCCGATCTGTGGCCATGTCTGAAGTTGTCACCTTCGCCAGAAGCATTGCTTCATCACGCTTCCGCGAGGCCAGGATGCATGACAGCCAGGGCTCTATATAGTAAAACAATATATTCATTCATCAGGCATCAGACTGAGTTTGATTAGTTCCTCGGATACTACTAGTCATGGGATTTCGGCGAGGTCAAGGGTTCGGCGAGAGGAATCTTTCGGCGAGAGAAGGATTTCGGCGAGCTGTCCAGTGGACGGCTCTCCCAAATTCAGCGGGGCTAAACCCTTTTCGATGTATGTGCTGGAAAAATTACCTGCGGCACTGTAGTTTACTATTGTATCATCGCTGGAACCATGATTGTCTCTTCCGTTATCTGGTGGGTCCCTTCTTAATTGATTTCCGCTTTCCTTAAGCTCAGTCAGGAAGTTGCTTCCCTGGAATGGTTTTCATTCAACTATGTTACCCTTGGTCCTCCCCAGCTACTTCGGCTAGCAACCCCGCGGGTTGCTAGCCCAAGTCTTTCTTTGCCTCACAGTCCCGGTTTCCGCAGTCATAGGTTGGCACTGACCTCGGAATCATGCGAAATTCTTTACATAAAGGTTCGGCTAGCGGCCCTGTGGGTTGCTAGCCCAAGTTGGGGTTGTCGTGAGCCTGGTGGTTCGGCTAGAGAAGTGGCTCCTATCTCTTTATGTATATCATGTTTTCATGTGCAATCATGTTCTTGATAGCTTCAACTTCTTTTGAAGCTTCCCTGCAACCCTAAATATGATGATGGTGCATTCCCTTTCTGGCCCGCGCTAGGGTGAGACCGTGACCTTACGACTTCCTTGCGCCCCTCTTCGGCCTGTCAACTTGGCAGTTGGCTCGCTTTACTTCAGCGATGGCTCTCAGAAGACATTGGGCGCCTTCCTTGTTTGGATTTGCCTGATGTTGGCGACTCAGCTGCCTGATTTTGAGGACAGCGACTATGAGAACCCTTCCTTCTTGGCTTTGGTGGGGTCCTTGCTACGAATCAGAAGTGTGCAAAAGTCTACGGTGGGCGCTGGTGACGAGATAGACAACACCATCGCTCGCATCGTGAAACAAAATGTCGACAGCAAAGTTCAAGCTGTTTCGAGTTTGACTTGGGCCAGCATCCTTGCGAGCATGGGCGAAGGTGTGAGTCTAGACACCTTGATTGCTCGATACAACAACCACCCTGAGGTGAAGGCCTTCGAGAACCAGCAAGCGACTGGAAGCATCTCTTTGGACGGTCGAAAGAGACAGGCAAGGTCTTCCATTTTTTGTTTTGGCCAGCCAGGTTTGACACCTTCCTCATGTTCGATGATTCCTCCCTTTGATGCCTCGAGGTGGTAATGTAGTTTCTTTTTTCCTTGTTTAAATAATTTTAGCCTTGGATGTTTGATAGCCTTGGATGGTCCCTGCAATGCTCCATATAGTGTCCGTTTGGCAGGCCGTCAAAAACTATTTGGAGAAGACCGCGGCCCCAGCTTTCGGGGTCCTTCTGAAAAGCACCCATGACATTTGCTGGGCGCTTGGCCCTTTTGGCGAGTCGTTTGGGTCCTACACGCACATGTTCCTTGGCAGCTGCGCCAATTTGGAGTCTTCGCAGCCCAATGAAGATGAGATGCCTGGTCCATTGCAGAACGAGCCCTCAATAAGCTTGAATTGGAGCCTCCCCCCTCACCGAGTTCGGCCAAGAGCTGCTGTTCCAAAGGATTGTGAACATGTTCGAGCGAACCACCTCCATGATCGCCGTTCCCCAGAAGAAGCGGTACAGACTCAGCGGCGATGACCTGTTCCGTGTCAGGAATATGGTGTGCCTGTTCGATCAAATCTACCCCCACCTTGGTGCTCGCATTGGTCTTGACGCCGCTAACAAATGGCTCGAAGATATCCGCTCTGGGACGCATCGAGATGCTGACCTCATGTCCTTGCTGCACATGAGGCCACCCATTTTTGCAATGAGTATGTTGCCCTCAGAGCAGGAGCAATCCAAGCGATCCTTGGAGGAGCTGGAGATCAAGAAGTGTGAGGATAAGGAATCTCAGAAAGCAGAGGTGACTGCAGCGCAGTGGGCCTTTTTCAAAGGAGCGCTTAGCAGAGATCAATCAAAGCTTGACAGTGTCCAGCAGGCTCCTCGCAATGTGCGCCTCCGGCTTCATGCCAAGCAAGTGGCGCATCGATCTCGCCTCGTTGCAGAAGGTGAAGCTGCTTGCAGAGGCTACCAGGATTTGGGTTTTGTGGCAAAGATGATTTGGTTCGGTTAGTCCTTAGTGTTTGTTGATTCATTTCATCCCAAATTGGTCGCTTCAATTGTATTCAATAAGCTCCAGGAGAGCTTCTTGAAGGTGATTGCGTTGGAGAAGATGGATTTGCTGGGAAGCGAGATCAGCAAATACAAGAGCCAGATCGTTTCTCAGTCATGCTAGGTCATGATCCTTTTCATTTTGTCAATCCGTCTTTGAGATGTTTTGCAAATGTTGGAACTTGAAGTGGCGTGCTTTGGGGTTGTGTTTTTCCCCGCATGAAAACACAAGATGTTTAAACCTTGAATTCAGGCTGATGCCATGCAGGTTGGCGTCGACTCCATTCACTGCCTGGGCCTTTGCGACTACAACGCCCCCGGAGCACGCCAGAACACCAAAGCCGAGTCGCTAGCACAAGGCATGGCTATGATCAATTCCTCCGGGTCGTTGGCAAAAAACTCCGTGATTTGCCTTTTGCCAGACCACCCAAAGGACTCGTCGATTCGGGGATTGTATGACGAGGAGAGGGTGATCATGGAAGCGTTGTTCTCGCAGCAGCAGTCCGTGGAGTGCCGCTTCATTGACCTTTTCACTCGCGAAAAGAAGTCTGAAAACAAGACCAATACGAGGAGATTCGCTGCTGGGCGAGTAGTTGTGCACGGTGACACCCTGGACAGCAATTTTTGGCTATCTTCTGAGCTTGCGGTGTGCGGCAGACCTGTCGGCCGTGCTGAAGGAGAACAAGGTGCTCCGACGAGCATCCTTCCTCGTGCAAGTGCCCTTCTGCTTCCCGAAGCTGGAAGTCCGGACCAAGATCTAAAGCTGGCAGAAAGGACCCGGCCGTCGCCGGAACAGACCAGCGCGCAGAAAGGCACTGCGCGGCTCGAGCTCTTGATCGAGAGCGCCTTCCGTCACACCAGGATCACCGGCCCGACGATTTTGGTGAACTTGACTGGCTATGTCGAGGAAGCTGCTGCTGCTGTCACTCGGACCGTGTTTTTGTTTTGTTAAGGTTTTTGCGTTTCCGAGGCGTTGGGAAGTGAGCCTCATAGTAGGTGTTGTAATTTGAGGATTTGGGGTCAAGACTGTTCCTGGGAAAGCTTCACTGGATCTGGTGGTCATGGGGTTATGGGGTTGTATTTGCATATATGTTTTCTTCCGTGCCTGTGATCTTTTGGAGCCCCTGCCATACAATCCAAAAAAACCTTGGACATATATTCCCACTAATTGTATAGTTGCGAGATCATGAGCATCAGGCCTTGCGCAAGACCAAGACAGATTTTACTGTTTCATTTGTGATTGGCCTTGGGATCTGAGGTTTTGAACCTGCGAATCAAAGGCAAATTGGCTGGTGATGGAGGTGGGTACGACTTTGCGGACCTGCACTACCTGTCGGCTCACACGCTGGAGTCGAAAAGTGGCATTGCCTATGCAAAAACCCGGGTATACCGAGAGTTGTTGGATGCCTGGCTCAGCAAGCGCATTGTCTTCCAAGGGAAAAGATTTGACGACACTGACATCGCCTTGACCGACAAGGACTGACTGGGGCGGGTAGTCATGGATGAACGGGGCAGCTGCTGTTTTGTGAGGAATGACCAGAAACTAAATACTTGATATAGACATATATACATATACAGTTACATAGGACACCACCATACTTCATCAAAGTCCACCAATCAAAGTTGGTCAACGCGACTCAAATTAAAGCAAAAGACATTTCACAATTAAGTAGTAGAAAGTACTATGTTAAAATTCAATGCGCTGATGATTCAACACCCACCGGGTCAAAGTCAACAAGCTAAAACATGTTTAAAAAAATCTCCCTGAGGGAGTGGAGAAAAATATACCGTGCATCGACTTGGCATTGTACGAGTAAATGTATCCATACACACAGATGTATATACATATGTACTTACCCTCTCGCGAAGCTTGATGTACAGTGTGTGTTTTTTCTACATATGGGTGCGCATAGTAGGTATTCCCCCTGCATTCGCCGCAACATATACACTCGCAAGTGTTGCTGTTGAAATCTCACTCAGTTTATTGACGTATATATAGATGCTGTATTTCCTTGCTGAAGGAGCTGGCCGAGATCCCGCATGCCCAATGCATCAAATCCGCTGACGCGCTGGAATTGGAAGCTTGTGTCCGCCAAGGAACCAAGATCGCGATCCATCCTGACCAAGTAAAGCAGTGGACAAGTTCGGGCGCTGCGCTGGAAGCTGAGTTCAAGAAGTTGGAGGCCAACCACATTGAAAAATACCAGAACTGCTTGGCTTCTGTGATTACCGCGCAGGCTCAGAGTAGCTCTTCGCTTCCGACAGCAGCTGGGGCTGTGGTGGCTGCTGACGACGAGAACAACGAGGATGATCCCCCTCCGGCATCGCCGGCCCCTGTGACCCAAGATTCTGAGTTCGCTTCATTGGAGAAACTTCGCGAATCTGATGCCGTGGAGGTCAAGTGTGCTTCAGAGGTCGCAGGAGTGGACTTGATCAAGACGGCTTCTGGAAAGATTTGGCTTCTTTCAGAGAAAGATCGAGTTGTGCCACGATTTTCTCAAATTGGAGGCTACGGGACTGGGAAGTATCCTGGCTGGAACGTCTTGAACTGGACCCCCCAAACAATTGCTTTTCCGTGTGTGTGTCATTTCCATGTAGATGGAAAGAATGCATCAAGTATCATGACAATATTCGAGCACCCCCTTATATGTACGATATGTTTTCTTTTTTTATACGGACAGGCGCAAAGCAATATATATTATATGTGCCACCAACCCTGGATTGGAGTATGAACGCTAAGAGCTTTGGGTCTGCAAATTGTTTCGCTTCCAGGTACGTTCCCACCAGTGAAGCCGGTGATGGTGTAGCGCTGGAATGGCCAGAGAAGGACAAGACATTGGTCCAAGTCGATCAGAGCTCCGTGACCCCTGAGAGCAACCAGATTCAAGTCATGTCACTGTACCGGTTTTTGGTGCAGCTAGAACGGACCAAGAAATTGTCGGTCTACCAGCTGAGCTACAGTGAATGCACCCGGAAGCCCACAAACACAGCTTCGGGAAACAGCGATGGATTTGAGATCACATTGAAGGACGCTCAGAAGTACAAGTCGCTGGCTGGAGCAGACAGGACTGTGACAGCCAAGTCCTTCTTTGCTGCCATCATGGCCAAGGTGGACCAGTCAGCCTTCATCGGCAAAATTTTCCGTTGGAGGTTTGAGCGCGTGCACGCAGTGTGCAAGGTGCAGAAGCCTTACGTGATCTTGAGGTCAGCCTTGCAGTTGAAAGCCGGTCGTCCTTTTCAGATTGCCTAGGGAAGTTGCATGAGACGTGTTGTTTTCGGATACCACATGTTTAAAGGAGAAATGTTTTTGATATTCTACTGCGCATGGTTGATGCCCCATAATGCCTCAGCACGTCGACCATGTCAACTTCGGTTTGCCGCAAAGAAGAGTTCCATGGGTGTTCTTTTGGTATCGAATTCAATCCCAACAAATGCTAAATGCTTGATCAGTGTCGTTCCATGTATTTGAGTTCACTTTGCGTGCAACACCCAGGACTCAACTGTTGTAGGGAATGCCACGCTCGCTCTTTCGAGTTGGTTTGTGACCTTTGACTGGTTGGGCGGCTCCATTTTCGTTTAAAGTTGAATCCCATCAAGCGTCAACTGTCCTGTTGCTGGAGATATAAGCAGAGCCGCTCGAGTAGATGTCCCAGTCATTCTATATGTTACGGTGTCAGAGATACTTGAACCTTTGTGTTCGCAACGCTCCGCTCTGTGAGGCAAAACATTTGTGTCCTTTCAAAGCATTCTAAGGACGCTACTAGGGCTCCTGGCCTTACCACTAGGAACAAGAAGCTAGTAGGAGCAAAGGGCATCGCTACTAGGAGCAAGGACGCTACTAGGGGCTCCTGGCCTTACTACTGTAGAGTCTTGGTGGGAGATCCGAAAGGAAGAGTTGACGTTTGTGGAATTGCTCATGGTTTATTTTGGTCGTTTCTTGGTTCTTGTTTCCGCAGATCCTTGGCCAGAGCAGAAAATTGTTTGCCAGACTGGTCATGGTACGCCGGCGCTTATCATGGCTGCAGAAGCACAAGCGCCTGCTCTCAAGAAAGAACATGGAAGCCCGCCAACGCTGCCGAGATGTGGCTTCTTCTTTATGGGCTTGCTGCCGGGTCCCCAAATTGCGCCGGATGGAGCGACATATAGATGAAGGTGATCTGACCCCTACTATCTCCATTCCTGGAAGCCCGTGGTCTATCTCCGAGTGGGCGGAATTGGAGCGAGAGCAAGATGAGGAACTCAAGCGGCTTGGACGGCCTCCGGTTGTCAAGGGGCAAAGGCCTTTGCCCTGGCGCGAGTGAGGTTTTCTTTTGAGTTTAGGGTAAGTCCACAAGTGCCGAAAGCAGGCCTTGTGATTGATGCTGGGTGGGTTGGGGAAACAGTGGGTGCGCGTTATTGCAAATCTGTTTGCGGAGTGTGGGGCAATTTGAATAATTTGACAGATTCTAGAACAGCCACCGAAAAATAAAAAAACATGGCGCCGTCAAGTCTCAGGCTGTAATTATTGTTCAGCAGCATTTGTTTTCTGTTGCTGCACTTGAAGGCACCTGAAGCCGCGTTTGCGCATGCGTGGTTTGTTGCAGCAATTGGCCATGAATTCCTTCGCATGTCGGTCAGAATCACCAGCCTCATTAGCTTTAGGTGGCGTGGGCATGCATTTGAGTGTTTGTGATTGCTTCAATTCCAGCTCAAGGCCAGTCAATTGGTCAGGTCTGAATCGGATTGTCTTTTTTGTCAAATGGCTGGACGCACAGAATCGCTTCGGTCTTCAATTTTGGCGCAAGCTGCCTCGAGGCACGCCTTTGGCCAGGATGACGAGTTTCTGGAAGATTCACCTTCTTATCCAGCTCGGTGCGCAGCAGATTCCAGCCGTAGGCGTTCTCCTTTGAAGGAGAGCCAAGCTCCTGATGATGTGGAGCCTGCTCGATTCAGGCAACTGGTTCCTGTTCGACCTGATGCGGCGGCTGCTGCTCGACCAGCTTGTGAAGGTGAAGAATCTCAGGAGAGAATCTTTCCAGAGTCAGAGGATGAAGGCCCACCTGCCCGGCCTGAAGAGAAGTCGAAGCCAAAGGTTCTTCCCAAGAGAAAGAGTGCCTTGAAAAAACCTTCTGTGAAAGATGCACCTGAGCCAGAGGAGGGAGAGACTGCCAAGGAATCCCAGGAACCCCTCGTTCTGAAGCGCCCAGCGAGCTGCCTGCCCGTGGAGCCCCCAGTGCTGAAGCGACCTGCGGGTGCGAACCAAGCACCTGCACCTTCTGCGAAGAAGTGGTTCCCGAACGCTGAGTACTCTTACAAGGATGAATCTGGCGATTGGGAGGCCACAAAGTTGACAAGTCGCAGTCGTTGACGCAATGAGAGTTTGGAACAGATAGCTAAGACTGGAAATCCTTAGCTCAGGATTTTGAAACTAAACATAAGTTGTTTCTGTCTGTACATCTACAGGCGTTTAACGTTATGTTATGTTCATTCCCGTTTCATGTTCATATTTATTTCATTTCATGTACATATCCAGGTTCATTGCATTTTGACTCCATCGTTTGATCGGGATTTTTAAGTCTAACTTCCTTTTCCTGATTCCTTTGTGTGTTCGGCTTCATTTTCGTTTCATGTCGCGGTACATTTATGTTATTCCTTCCTTCCTTGTTTCCTTTCTGTTGTTTGCTTTCCTTTTCTTTTATTTTCATTAGTTCTTTTGTCCTTCATGCATACTTACATACATGTATACATGCTGCATGTATAACAAGTGACTCAGTGGCTGAATGAATGGCTGTGCGACTAAGTGTGGCTGAATGAATGGTTTGATGCATGACTGAATGAACGCATACATGAATGAGTGAATCCATGAGTGGCAGAAGGAATGAATGAACGATTGGTGCATGAACAAGAAGGTTGGTGAATGAATGAGCAAATCCAAGGATGCATCCTTCATGGGTGAATGGAACCATTGAATGAATGAATGAATGAATGAATGAACAAATTAAATGAATGAGTGAATGAATGAATGAAATGAAATGACATAACATAACATAACATAAACATGAACATGAAAAGACATGAACAATTACAAGAAATGAAATGAATTGAAATGAACTGAAAGGAAAGTAAATGAAATAAAATGAAACGGAATGAATGAATGAATGAATGAATGAATGAATAAATGAATGAATGAATGAATGAAGCAAACAAATGAATGAAGCAAACACATGAAATGAAACAAAAGAAGGTGAAATGAATTGAATTACAAAGACAAAAGAATGGAATGAATGCCTGATTGAATTATGTATAGATTTGGATATGCATATGGATATGTCTATGTGTATGTATATGGGTTGATTGGTTGGGTGCGTGTATGTGCCCTGAGGTGTTTGTGCACACAAGAGAAACGGGTACGAGCAAGGGCGACAAATGGCGAATGTTTGTGCACCACCCCAGCCAGACCACCTACAAGTCTTGGAACACTGCCCAGAAAGCTGGGCTTGATAGATCCAAGGCCGTGGACCCTCATGAATCTAAGAAGGATTCTTGAACCGGTGAGTTTGAATCTTTTTTTTGGAGGGCACCGGCTTGAAGCCCGGTCACCTTGAGTGGCACTTCTGCGCTTGACCGCAAAAAGAAAGGCTGCTTCCTTGAATGGAAGTCTGCGTGAGTCAACACTTGTCCTTGCTTTTGGGAAATGGAAGATTATAGAAATAGTAAATAAATACATACTGGATATTCGTACAGCTCTCCAAAAGTTTAATGGCACTACGTGCTTATTCAACATGCGCCCTTGAGGAACAGAAATTAAGTTATCAGTTATGGACATGGGCAAGCAGTATAAATCGGCGGCACTTGTAGAGCTGCGTTCACTGACAGTAACAGTCGCCATTGACCTTTGCTGACAAGCGCCATTGACCTTTGCTTAC